AATTTCACAATCTGAAAAGAACAAAAAGACTTTTTCTTTCTTTCTCTCTTTAATTTTCTTTTTAATAATTTTCGTTTTCTTTTTTTTCTGTTATGTATTTTTTTTTTCTTTCTGCATTTTCTTCCCTTTTTCTCTTCTTTCTCTTAACCAATAATCATTTTCATTTTCATTAACACACTTGAAGAGTGAAACAGATCACACTTGAGTTTCCCTAAAAAAAAAATGTATTACAAAGGAGTGTTACACTTATTTTAATGAAGGTCTTGATTTCCAAAAACAATAGAGGTTAATACCTAAAAGCAAAGAATAGGGACACAAACAATTTTAGGATTAAAGATAATGATGATAAAAAATGGTGTTAGTATTAATAACAATAATTATTTCGTAAATTATAATAAAGGCAAAAATAGTAGTATTCGTATTCATAATATTAATAAAAGTAGTGATAATTAAGATAATAATAGTAATAATTATTATAATAACAGTAAGAGTGATATAATGATCATGACGAAAGTATATAGTAGTAATCGTATTAAAATTATAATAATTATAATAACAATAATAAGAACAATAATGACAACACTACTACTACTACTAATAATAATGATAAATGATAGCAAGAGTAAAAATAATAACAAAGCAAAACAACAAAGAAAACAAAAACTAGTAATACTAATGATAATGATAGCAGCAATAATAACATCAACGATAACAATAATATTAATGATAATATTTTTATTGATAATTATAATAATAACAATAATAATAATAAAAACAAAACAGCAACAATGAAAGTATATGACAATAATCATAAAAACATCAACAACAATAAAAAAATAATGACAATAATCATAATAACCTCAACAAAACTAAAATCGGCAGCGAAAGCAACCCAGTACCTCGAGCCTGACCCAGCGTCAGAAGGCTAACAGCGAAACAGATTCGAAGCTTCATCCTCGGTCTCCTTCGACAGAACTGCACGCCAGGGGTTCGGCCTCGACACTGAACGCACACGAACTCCAGCCGAACGGATGTCGGAGAGATAATGAGAATTGTACACGACTCTGCTACAGTTTTGTCTTCTCTGCTGGGGAAAAATATTAGCACTGTTATGTTATCATTCATTATTGTTGTGTTGTTATGGTTGTTACTGTTATCATTATCATTAACGTCGTTATTACTATCATTATCATTATCGTCGTTATTATTATCATTATCATCATTATTTCAATAATCATTTATGTAAATTCAGTAATTATATTGTATTATTATTATTACCGTTATTATTATTATTATTACTATTATCATTATTGTTGTTGATGTTATTGTTGTTATCATCATTATCATTAATCATTTTAACAATAAGTTCTGATAGTATATACATATCCTCTAAATAATAATATTACCAGTTTCCTGCTGATTGCAAATGTACGCTTAGTTACTTGACAATGAGGCAATAAACCCTTTCACTAATGTCAAATATGCAACACATAAACCAGAAATAAATACTCTAAGCATATTATAAATTCATACAGACACACGTATATAAAAATCTGACATCCTACCACCGCCTCCTCACCCCCCCACACACACTACAACTCTGCTTTTCTCCCCCTCTTTCCCATTTTTCAACCATACAGTCGCCACGCTCTTCCTCCATTACGTCATCAGTCTCAGTGGTCATTGTCTCGCCGCCTCTCTGCAAATACCCCCACCACAAAACCACCGTATAATCCTTCTACCACACCGTTACCAAGCCATCTCTCTACCGCAACCTCACCCTACCATCTTTCTGTCACATTCTCATCCTGTCATCTCTTTACCGCATCGCCCTGTCATGAGATTCACGATTCAGTGTCACCCTGTCCATCCCGCCCATCTGAAGGTTTTCGACAGAGGCATGCGACGTAAGCGAAAGAGGTAGTGGGATACTAAGGGCTTGTTTTTTGCCTGCCACTCATGTACAGTGAATATACAGCTCGTATCACAGTAAAATAATCAGAAAAAAGTGAAAGCAGGATGCCAGTGTCATGTTTCCTTTTGCTCTTTATGGACCCGTTGTAATTCTTCAAAATCGTACACTAAATAAGTAACGAGAAAACATAAGATGATGAGAGAGAGAGAGAGAGAGAGAGAGAGAGAGAGAGAGAGAGAGAGAGAGAGAGAGAGAGAGAGAGAGAGAGAGAGAGCGTGGTGATCCAGTGACCGTTTTATACCTGAATTGGAAAAAAAATGCGATATATTTTCATTAAAAAAATGTAGAAGCTCAAATAGGGAGAAAAAATTGAAATATTAGCAAATGACTTTTTACCTTCACAATGCATGCTGACTGTGTTAACGCATCTACCTCAGACACAACACATAGGCGTGTAGATCTTTGGACTTTGGTGTAGTCATGCCTTAATCTAGCACTTAAGCCACTCGTCACGAAAATGTAGTAAGCACTCTAGCATTGTCTTGTGAATTGTTTACACACAGATGGCGCCACGAGTACTTAGCC